AATATATATTTAGTGCTAATACTTTTATCTAGGGAGTTCACGCCACATATTACCGTAGTTAAACATACACGTATATTAGGGATAGCTTTGAGCTAATAATATTAGCTCAGGAGCTAACACAACATATTAGTAATATATGGTGTTAACTCTTGAGATGATTTACTAAACATCATGTTTGATTGTTCAAAACATACTGTATATTGCGCAGAACACAGAAACTAATACAAAACATTTATTTATAGTCACACATTCGAGCTTTTTAGCCTTGACTCTTTGTGTTTTAGTCTCAGCTAGAACCAATCATCGTTATCATCCCCGGAATGCATTGTGTCAGTGACAAAAATATAATAAGCAATTTTTAATTTTCACATGTCAAAAGCAACTTTTAGAATAGAGAAACAACATATTACAGCCAATGTGCAAATAGTCAGAGATCCCTGACAAAAATTAACTTTGACCACTTTGTTTAATTAAACATTAGGTCGTCTGTGTCCATGTTCGGAACATATTCATTAAGAATTCCTACATTTCTTTCTAAGTTTTCCGACCATTTCTCTTTCAATGAGCAAAACTTTTACATTTGGTGGTGAAATTATATTTACAAACTCTCAAATTAKATCCTGAAACAAAGTGCGATTAAATTGCAGGATATTATCTCGATTCAAGGCCATTACTTTGCAACTATGTTCAATAGCTTTATAATTGACAGCTTTTATTGCACATATTCACTAATATGAAATCACTCTGTCAAAGAACAGCAAGTGGCTCACAGGAGGGGAGTGGTGTATATACACGTTGGGTAAAATACATCCAAATAAATAGATTTGTCATAATAAAGCAGCTGGTCTGKTAAAAGTATAGAGCAGCTGAAAAAGTCACACATTCTGGCACAAATACGAAAACTGGGGATTTTTAAAGCACTTCGAGACCATGGCTATGCTACATCCTCCTTATTCTAGACAAAAAGAAAGCTGCTCTTGTACAGTGCAAAATACATCATTACAGTGTGTAAATATATCCGTAAAAACATTTTCAACTGGCAAAGCAAAGCCTGGCTGTACAAATGCACTCCAGGTAAAAGTAGGCTAGCTAGTACATTCAAGTCGCTGGACAAGTCTGATGACGAGCAAACATTTCTTAGTGTCAGCTGAAACTCCTGAAAACGTATCTTATATGAGTGAAACCAGCAAGAAGGACCTTAAATGCCCATGCTTTCAAAGAAGTGGGAGTCTGGATTCATTGTTTTTTACAGTGCAGTTGGTGTTCGCTTCTGTTTATTCCCTTTTCGGAGAACTCAAAAAGTAAGACGTAGCTTTATGTCTTTTCTCTGAGATGGAAACATGTCATCTTGACACATGCTCAATAATCCAGGTTGAGTCAGGTCTTCTGGGCAGGTTCTTTGTTGAAACGTTTCACCTTTTATCGCCCCCCAAAAAATACTTTATGGCAAAGACTGGTTCACCTCAAAAATCCAGTCCCCTGGCACAGACTGTAATGTTGTGTATGCTGTTAAGTACCAGGAGTACTGTGACCAGTTATACTTTGGGGAAACAAAGCAGTCACTGTTAAAAGGATGGCCCAACACAGAACACTTACATCATTAGGTCAGGACTCTACAGTTTACACTCGTCTACAGGCCAGTGGTCACTCTTTTAGGGATGAAGATGTTCTCATTCTTGGTAGAGAGGATCATTGATTTCTGACAGGAGTAAAGAAGCCATTTTTGTGAACAGAAACTGCCCGTTCTAAACATTTGTCATTTATATCCAGTTGTACGGATTGTTAATTACACCTACTKTCCACCATTTCGCACATATACTGACAAATAGGGAAATCTTACTGGCATTTTTCAAAAACTTTCTTTCAATTTTATTAAAGTTTCAGAGTTGGCAGGCTCTAATGAAATAATTTCACCACCTCGCAGACACTGTTATCTGCAGCCCCACGTCCTCACCCCATGGTCCACAGTCCGCCTGTCCACTCCAAAYCCAACACCTCTCTCGTTGAGTTGAGGGGTACTGCAATTCTTTTGTGAAAATTATAGATTTCTGAGGAAGAAGATACAGATGGTCATCTAAAAAGGTTGACAATGTAGAGTTGTCCCAATTGTCCCCCTCTTACAATGCTGTTATTAGTGTCCCTCAGTACTCTGTGAACAATAATGACCATTAGGACACTAACGATTGGACTTTAGGCTGATGGTCCTCCTTTTGCATGTGAACAACCAGTTTTGCTTGTCACCAACAAACTTGATGATCCACTATGAGAAGGTACTGCCTATAAGGCTGAGTTTACCTCCAAYTCCTCATATTGAAGAAATCTTTTTGTTACAAGACAAAATTGTTCAATAACAAGAAGAACTTGTCTTGAGGACCTGACTTGGCCTTGCTTAAATGAGATGGGAACACATCGTTTTAACGTGTTGACGGCAAAAAAACTACTTTTCACCAGATTCACCCTGTAGATATTAACTGTTTTTGGTTCTCGCCACTCAAGAGATATTTTTAAGGGGGGGGGGGGGGGTAAACGTGGACAAAGTGCACAAACAGAGGCTGTAACGTTGTCTAATATGTGCAGCAGGACGTCCATCACCTATCAGTGTCCCAAAACAAGGCAACGTTTTATACGTCTCCCTCCAGCTGCGTGGTCCTCCGGTCAGAGACTGAACTGAACCGTGGGTTTCTTGGTGAAATTGATCAGTTTGATCTGTGTGGGGGGAGTGGCGGGGGGTGGGTATGAATCACAGATCTCTTGTTTACCATCTTATCCCTCCTCAGCTGTCTTTCAACCCTCACCTGTCCCCGCTTCATCCTCCCACTCCTTACTGTCTTTCCATTCTTCTCCACCCACCACCTTCCCTAGTTTTTTATTTATTTATTTATTTATTTTGCTCTTTCGATGCCCTCCACCCACCATCTGTCCCCCTGTCTCCTCTCTGTAAGAAAGCCCTGTCGTCTCTCCTCCGCCCACCATCTTCCATGAACCAACTTTTTCCTTTTTTTTTCTTCTTCTGGGCCCCCACAGGTGTCTGTCCTGTCCGTGTCTGTTTGGCCGTTATTAGCTGATCCTCTGGAGGCAGTAGTCGTTCTCTGTGTCCACGGAGCTGTTGTGGCCCGACGAGGGGTAGAGGTCACGGCGGAGCAGCCTGTTGGCGACGGAGACCAGGACCTTCCTGTACTGCTGACGCAGGAGCGAGTAGGCGAACGGGTCGGACGCAGCCTTGCTGTATGTCAGGCACTTGCTGATGATCCCCCAGTGGCGGTTGATGTCCACCGATGGAAGGAGCTCGGCCAACCTGAAGGGGCAGAAAAACAGGTTTCCATTAAGGTTCGGTTCAAAGATGGTTTGTCAGATAAGTTGGGAAATCTAAATAACTGGACTCTCAGCTACTACCACTTTAAACCATAGCTCAGTAACTGAGTTATAGCCCTTTATATGTGTTGGTTAATGTTGATCTGCTGCTRCCATCTTGAATCCAATTAGCTCCGAAAGTTATTCAGTTGTAGATGAATATTCAGTGGTTATTTCCTGAACATTTCATTTTTTAAAATTTATTTATTTAGTTTTTTGG